CTTATTTTAACCTCTATTAAAGACCACCTACCTTGTACCTGTGCGTCTGATTTTGCAGAATCTTACCTTTTTTATCAGTGAACATTTCACTAGATAAGGACCAATGTTCACGGCTATCAAGACCAGGGTGGGATGCAAATTTTTAAACTACTGGTTCTGTGGGTGTGGCCAGGTGGGCATGGCCAGGTATGTGACTGGGTGGGAGCAAAAACGGGGCAGGGGTGCTGCGTGGCCCTCCCGTGCTCCGTTTTTGCTCCAAGGAGGCTTCCCTGAGGCCAAGTAGGCCCCCTCAGGGGGCCTCAGGGAAGCTTCCTCGGCAAAGCAGTACAACAGCGAGGGGGGAGTCAGCTGTGCTGCACGATTTATATTAGCTAGAAAGCAAGAAATCCGATTATTTCCTGCTTTCTAGCTAATCTAAATCACACGGCACAGCTGATCTTTGGAAAACAGCTGATCAGTGGAGAAAAAAGAAATACCATGATTTTTGAAGCTACCAGTTCACCCGAACTGGGCCGAACCAGTAGAATCCCACCCTGATCAAGATCCTTTTAAATTCTGAAGTGTTAGCAATGATTCCAGCTTTGTGTCATCTGCAAATTTTATGAGTATCCCTTCTATTCTCATTAAGTAACTTATGAAGATGTTGAAGAATACAGAATCTAGAACAGAACTCTGTGTATCTCCCTCTATGTGAACACAGACCCATTAAGGACAATGCATTGGTGATAGTTGTTTATCCAATTGCAAATACATCTGGTAGTGGAACCTTCACCCCACATTGTTCCAGGTCATCAAGAAGGAGGTTACGGTCTATTTTGTCAAATATCAGGTAGAAATTCAGATAGATAAAAATATCACACTATGCCATAGCACACTGTGGTTTAGCTCAACAATTGTTAATTAAAAATATGTGACTTAAAATTGTACCTACCTAGAGACTGAAGAAAAACCCAGAAGACTTTCTTAATATGATCCTTATTTCCTAATCAATGCACATAATTTCATCATGGAGCAGAATACTTTAATCTCCAACTAAGTTACACAAAAAAATAAAATCTTGAAGCCCCAAATAATTTGAAATCACTGAGTAGACAAAATAAACTGGACTAAATAGTAAAAAAGAGCAACTTTGTGTTGGCACGCAAGGGTCGAAATGACCTAATCAGGCTTTAGCTCTAGATTCTCTGATTCTGTGGTATTCTATCCTGCCATAATATTTACAAGTACAACAATATTTTAAAAACTATGATTAGTTTCTATGGAGACAGGAATTGTTTAGATGGAGTCAGCAGCTAAAATAGTGCCTTTCCTCTTACAGCTTATTTGTAAGATCCCACTTTTTTTAACTCTTCTATATTAGCTAATAGACAAAACTGCCTTTACCTACCTATCCATAACTCATGGAAACAAAGTAGTTGAACAGCCAAATTATTGACAGATGGTTCTGAACTCTATTACTGCAATCTCAGATGTAGAAACATAGGTAGCCAAAAATCTTCTGCCAAAAATATTTGAGAACCATTGCCAATGATGAAATTGATGCTACAGAGCTGAAAAAGTCCAACAGTTCAATGTAATATTAGGTAATATTATATAAAATATTAAAATCAAATGAATTGCTAAAACAGGAAATAGAAGTGGATGCTTCCAATTAAGTTGCTTTAGAATTTTTTTATAGAAAGAAAAATTTATGATAATGTCATAAAAAGTGACACCATAACATAAAAATGTTGCCTTCAGCACTCAATAAACGAGAGGAGCTATTCCTGTAACAATACCTAAATTAGTACTTTGTAAAGCTCTATTTTTTTCACTGTATTAGTATGCTGTAATTTAAGCCTGATTTGAAGGAAAATGTAACATTTTTAAAGATGAGATTCATATGAACAAATATAAAGGAAGTCCTGCATACAAAGAAACATTTATTATATGATATTTCTGAAAGAGTAAAAAATAAAATGGGACTCAGCCATGATATGGTACATTATTTGCTATATTCTAGCAAATAACAACATGTTTTACTTGTGATCTCCTGCTGAACTCTGCATATTATTTCAGTTTGTCTCCTGTCTTTTCATCTGTTTTTTTTTGTTTTATACTCATAATAATTCAGTGAGTATGTGTATGAGAAGTAATGTGATAAGGGTATAGACACATGAACCTTAGTCCTTCCAGACCATTCTGATTCCCTGAAGGTTACTTTACTAAAGAGATAGGGTCTATAAACAAAACTCCTATTAGCAAGAGCTAGCAGGAGACTGAATATTATTTTCTTTTATAGTGCCACAGGGAAATCCTATCTGCCCTTTTCCTACCTTACCTTTGTCTGTTTATCTGGGTTTTGTCTTTTCAGGCTGAATATGAATATGGCCGCTTTTAAAACAAAAAGCTGAAAATTCAATTTAAACAATAAAAAATAAATAAATGATGTAATTATTCAGTAAATAACACACACTGAATTAACAATGCACATTGAATAGTAAAGAACAATTAGTACATTTTATCTTATTTTTTCTAATGCGAAAACGAATGTCAAGAACATGGAATTTGTGTTTTTGTAGTTACTTCAGACGCACCACATGAATACCCAATTGAAGTTTTTATTTCTAGAAACTTTTACTCAAACCTTTCTCTCAGTATTAATGAGACATGCTCTTCATTTCCTGTCTTAAAGCATTATGTAATATTTGCTCTGTCAGTCAGCTGCAAACAGTAATCTCTGATGATTTCATTTAAACTGAAATGCAAAATATTCAGTGTATCAATAATGGTAAACATAAGAAAGCATTTCCAGTATATATTATAATCTGTATTCAGATTAGAAATCATGCAAAACATTTTACCTGTATATGAATATTTATTCAATAGCCAAGAAAAACAAATATGAGCTTACCAACTCCAATTCCTTTTGTATGTGAAGAAATACTATCAGAGTGAACATTCTCTGAAACAGTTCATCCTATCTAGAGGACATTTTCAGTGGCCAATTCTTTGCAAATCAGAAGTTTCATAATTCCTTCTCTTTTCCATATTTGCATCTCTGTAGCCCATTCTCTCTTTGCAACCTTAAATCATTCTTTATATAAATATACACACAACATACAAAAACTTTAACCTTAGACTGTCTACTATTGACCTCACCCCCTTCCTAAGAGGTCTGTAGGGGGCGTGCATAAGCGCACCAACGTGCCTACCGTCCCTGTCCTATTGTTTCTCTTATTCTTTTATTTTTCTTATATGTACCCATTTCATGTATTCACAACTATGTATACGCTTATACTTATTATCTTGTAAACAATTGGCAAATCAAATAAATAAATAAATAAATAAATAGATAATATGAGAAAGCTAATATAATATTAATGTATCATTATTTATTTTTAATTTTTTTTATTTTGCTTTTCTACCAGGAAATTTTCAAACTTTTACCTCCAAATAAACCAATAATACATAATTCAATAAATATTAAATAGGAGAACATTAACACGAGGAAAAATTATTAATATAATTCTCTCTACTTCCATATGCCTAAAACCAAGAACAAATCAAAATTAATAGGGGCAGGATGCAAATGGGCAGAATTCTATTGCTATAGCACCACAAGTAAAAACAATTGAATCCTGTCTGGTCGTTACCAATCTATTTCTCAAAGGTGGAGGCAAAGAAATAATAATCTGATTCATAGACAAGTTTGCTTGAAAGAAGCTGCCAGTTCCAGACCCTACTTCCAGAATATTATGGAACAGGGCATTTTTAAGAATACTTATCAAACACTGTACTTTTAAAAAAAGACTATACAGAAGACATAATATGTAAATTAAACTGAATTACTCATATTTTTATGATAATGTGAACCATGTTTAGAAAGTCAAGCTTCAGTCCCTATGACATAGCATTAATCCCTTAATGCTTACAATACAATTTACAATGTTTAACACATGTAGATAACTAACCATGGCTGCAATCCTAAATTCATTTTACTGGAAAGTAAATTCAGATCAGTCTATTACAACACATTTCTAATAAATGTTGGGCATTGTAAAAGGCTGAATTTCAATTATTCACACCAGTTTATTTAGCATATTATAACATAGTATGTACATACAGTTTTAAAATTCTTTAATACTATTTTAAACTTTCATTAATATGCATAAGATTTAACCAGATAATTCTTTCAATGAATTTTCTACAATTATTTTCTTACAAAATTCCTTCATTTGTAAAGCAATAGAAAATTCAGTATAAAATCTAATGAAGACATTCTTCTGTAAATTGAAGCCTATTTCTGGGTTTTTTCTTGTTTTTCGTAGATCAAATGAATGTTATATGTAAAACCTTATTAAAACCTTATTAATACCAAATAATTAACCATTCTAAATATACTAAATGAGAGAAAGTTAAGAAATGGGTTTAAAAGGAAAAGTACATGCACTTTTACACATAACACATCCCTGTTTCTCATCTGGCCTTCCCATCATACTTGAAGAATTGTTTTCTAGTTACATCATCAGGAAATAAAACACAAGGAAAAAAAGCTTGATGTTCATACTTTTCTCAGAGGAGGCCAGCTAAGCTTGGGTGTTCCCCCCACCCCACTTCGGAAAATCAGAAAATAAAATAAAAATTAAACAAACCCAATTGTGTTATGGAGGAAAATAAAATAAAATATTACTCTGCAATCACTTCACTATTCTATTAATAATGAGAATTAACTCTTTTAAACTTTCCAATGCATTCATTTTGGCCACAAATCAATCCGACATGAAATGTTTCATAGCCCAAAGTATTTGAAGCCAGAAAAATGCACACATGCATAAATATGCATGCACGCATACACACATACATATATTTGTAGTTATGGTTATCAGTAAAATATAGTAAGTACAGAATGAGACTGCACAATATAGAATTCCTTATAAGGTATTGCCATGACGTAATGCTTCATAGGCTTTGAGCAAGCAGAGAGTTTCTCTCTCATTGTTTCGTGTAACTGCTGGAATGCTCACATCCCTAATGCCTAAGAGAAACAAAATCTGAACACTACTGAGCAATAATTAAATCAAGAACTCTTCAGTGCATTTGCTGAAGGTAAGAGGGAGACTGTGGGAAGAAGTTTCTTTTAGCAGCCAATAGGCATTTTGCTTCAAAAATCAGTTGGTTCACTTTATATTATTTCCACAGCACAACTTTTGGACTTAATGCTGAGATCAATTATAATACTAAACAACTTTCCGGTTCTCTTTCTAAGCATAAAAAGGTATTTCCAAGGCAAAACTGAAGCATTAAATTAAGAAAAAGGGAGAGCTAGGAATTACACATAATTTCCAACTGTGTGCTGGACAGAGTCATAACTGCATTTTAAACTGGGAGAGGACTTAGTGACTTTATAAATAGTATGAAGAAAGTTGTAGCAGCTTTTTGAATACATTATGTTATATGTTATAGGCATGTAGAAACATGTTCTTACTGAGATTTATTGTGCTTTTGAATAGCTTTAGTAGTTTTAAGTTTGGAAAATGTAAATTCGAAATCAAGGCAGTAGCAGTGATAGTAAGATAATTATTACTTTTACCATTTTAATTCATTTTAAAAATTAATTGTATATGCTCATGAGGAAAAAAGTCACAGTACAGAATTATGTTTCCTATATCAACAGTTACATATTCATGATAAGATTAAGACTAAAGCAAACTAAATTAGGCATGTAAAAGTCTTATTTGGAGTGAGGATGGGAATACATTTGATTATTTTATTTCCATTTATTCAGATCATTCTTCCAATTATATATTCATTAGCTATCTTACAAGATACAAAATTTCTCAACTATATAAACATGAAAATAGAACTCTTCAAATTACAATAATAACAATTGCTATGCTCACAAAGGTAATTGGATGTAAGCAATGTTAATTTTAAGAAACTCAGTAGAACATTTTAGAAATTAGCTCGCAGATATTAAGGACATGCTTACAATGTATACATCTTTAAGAATAAGCATACTGTTTGAAGATATTAAAAGTTTTTGTTTTTATTAATAAATTGCCTATCTTTTGTTAATAAAATTTTCTAAATATCTACTTGTCAGAGTAAAATTTTCATTCACTGCTATGATGACATTTTTATCTGGTAACGTGTAAGGCAATAGTTTCTAAGATTTTAAACTAATAATCTAATGATGAATAATAAACCCATTTATTTTGGTCCTTTCAGGCTATTTTGTTGGAAGTTAGAGCAACTCTACTTTTTTTCAAAATAAACTAATTCAAAGGAATTGGGATTTTAAAAGACTATTATTTTTAAGGAGTATTTTTTTAAATGTATCCACCATGGTTTAGCTGGATTTGTGAAACATGAAAAATGATGCCCTCAAATTTTGCATAATTAATGGATTACTTTAAAATATATCCAACATTTTACTGTTTATTAATTTACATAAATATTATTGGATTGAGAAAACAACAATCTATGAAACAAAGATCATCAGACTACATAAAACATAAATTATAACACTTTCAAAAATTTTGATTTGCTAAGAAAGCAAATGAAAGAGAAACATTTTTTCCAGTCATCTGGTTTAAAAACTTTTGAAAACAGGAAATGGAAATAATTACAATATAATTTAAGCATTAATGGATAAACTGCATTTATTCTATTCAGAATCTTTAATCACTACATCAACTAGAGGTTTATAATACATATTATATGGTTAAAAGTTTCCATTCAGATACCAAGATTTATTTGGTTCTCACCAGTTGTTTTTAGAATTTCACCAACATTCATTTTCAAAACTACAAATTAAGTTTTCCTCTACTAAGTGCCATGCAGAAATGTAGGCCTACAGTCCTTACAATCAATTAAGGCTAATATTTAGCTGGAGATTGTAGGAAATACATCTAAAACAACTGGATAGCAGAAATGTGACATAGCTTATTTTATTATTTTGATTATCAATACATTATTTTAGATGATATTAACAGATTAGATAAATTTAAGAATTTGATTTCCATGAGAGATTTGTACACGTGCTTAACTTTCTCAGTCAAATTAGTAGCTTGAGTATTATTTATTGGAGCAATTCTGTTTCTATACAGTACAGCACAATGCTATATCTACATTGCAGTAATTTTCTTTTCAATTATTTTTATTCAACATTCACAAAATCTTTGTAACTCTGTGATTCATTTCTTACTTATAGATTGCTGTGTTTACAGAAGCTTTATAGACAGAAACTTAAAAGATTGTGGACAGGAATAACAATGTTACAATTATATTAATATTACAGTAAATTATGTGGATTTAAGTCATGTTTTCCATGAGATGAGAAACATTTCCATTTTTAAATAAATATGAACAGTGCTATAACTTGATAACAAGAAGATAAATTATGTCAGTTGGTTTTATTTCCTACAGTTTTCCCTCTTACATACATTTGGATATCACTTAATATTAAACAAGAACATTATACCTTCGTGCTTCTTATATGCACTTCACATTGAAGGAGACCAATTTGTCCCATGTTGTAATCGATTCTTTCAACTCATGTTTAGTCCAAACACAAATCATGTATAATATGCTGAAATTTTATCTTGGGAAAGTGCCCTGAATTTATGCCATGAAGAACTTTATAAGATTATCACCTGGATCCTTAACTGAACCTACAAGCAAACTTGCAGCCAATGCAGCCGATGGAACACAGACGTAATATGAGCTGATTGATGTGCATACATAATTGCTTATGAAGTATCATTTTGCACCAATTGAAGCTCCCAATACTTTTTAAAAGCAGTTCCAGTACAAAACATTGCAGTAATCCTTATGAGCAATACCAAGGCCTGAGTAATTGCAAGTAGGATAGCCCAGACCAGGAACATCCTACTTGCAATATACAATACATACTTGTGCAAAGGCCCTTCTTGCCACAAAGTCTTCCTCCTGTTCCTTGGACAGGAGCTGTAAGTCTATAAAAATTCCTAATAAATTCTGCCTTGATTGGTGCAATCCCATGCAGAACAAGAGATGGACAGTTCCCAGAACCACAAACTCCAACACGTAAATCCATTCAATCTTGCTTCGGTTGAGCTGGAGCCATCTTCATCCAATTCCAGGCACTGACACAGAATTTTCAGAGCATCACATAATTGGCCAAAAGTAGGGATATACATTTGAGTATATCAGCATATTGATGCTACATCAGTCTCTGCCATTGGATAATAACTTCTCATTGCTTTCAATAAAAATAAAAACCTGGTTAAATACATTATAAAACCCTTACATTTAGCTGCTGCCTTTTCTCCAAGGGACAAAATATAACTTTCATGATTTCCCTCCATACTACCCAGCAACTTTGTAAAATAAATTAAAACTAAGAGAATATACCATTGCCTGTATGGCAGGGGTCCCCAACCGCCGGTCCGCGGACCGGTACCGGGCCGCGGAACAAGCCTTACCGGGCCGCTGGTTGCTGGGCGCCGCCATCTTTTTTTGGTAAAAAAGTGCTTCCGGTGAGCTTTTCCGGGTAGAAAGCTCACCGGAAGCACTTTTTCATCAAAAAAAGATGGTGGCGCCAGCGCTTCCGGTGAGCTTTTCCGGGTAGAAAGCCATTTCTACCCGAAAAAGCTCACCGGAAGTGCTGGCGCCATTTTTGACGAAAAAGTGCTTCCGGTGATGTCACCGGAAGCACTTTTTCGTCAAAAAAAGATGGCGGCGCCCAGTTGACGCCGGTACCGGGCCGCGGCGCCCAGCTGATGCCGGAACCGGGCCGCGGCGTCGAAAAGGTTGGGGATCACTGCTGTATGGCATAGTTTACACACTTACCGTGTCCTCTCTAGTGTTTTCAAATCTCAAACTCTTCATCTCTTGGTCTATTTATTAGCTTAATAAGCATGGGGAATCTATGGACCTCCAGATGTAATTGAATTACATTTTCTAATCACCATGGCCAATGGAGTAGGATTTAGGAACATCTGGGGGATTATAGGTTCTCCATACCCAATGAAAATCTGCTACTGATAGAGTTAGCAGTAATTCCAAATACAGATGGGAATGTGAGCGTACTTTCAAGGACAGGAGTAAAGACCAATTTAGTACTATTGAAACAAAAATATTTAAAGTGGTGCTGTCTGATCTTGGAAATTAAACAGATACATGGAAAAGAGAATGGAAAAAAGGGGAGTTCTTACTATTACATCGTCATTTCAGTATTTGCAGCTTGATTTTGTGGCCAGGGCTACTAGAAAAAGCTTGATTTTGTGGCCAGGGCTACTAGAAAAAGTAGCCACAAAGTACATTGCTTGAAAATATTATTGTAAAATAATATTTTATTATCAGTAAACTTGTGAGCAGCACAATGAGTTTTTACGGAAGGAGCTATGATGGTGCAGTAGTTAGAATGCAGTATTGTAGGTTGACTTTTGAGATTGGTAGAATGAGGACCCAAGTTGTTGGGGGCAATATGCTGACTCTGTAATCGCTTAGAGAGTACTGCAAAGCAGTGATCCCCAACCTTTGTGGCTTAGCAGCCTGGCTAAGTGACAGGGGAACCAGACTGCATGAGTAGCGGGTCAGTGCACACACACATGTGTAGTTCAATTTACATCAGAGTTATACTGGCACACATGCACGCGAAGCTTGAGTTGCATGAGCAGCGCTCTAACATACATGCACATATATGTGCAGCTCAACTTGCGCAAGTTGGCCTACATATACACATGTGCTGACTTGCTGCTCATGCAAGTTGAACTGCACACAAGTGTGCATGCTTGCCTGCAACTTGTGTGGCCCACTTCCAAATAGGCCATGGTCCAGTAGTGGCCCACAGCTCAGGGTTTGGTGACCTCTGCTGTGAAGCACTATGAAGCAATATATAAGTCTAAGTCAGGGGTGTCAAACTCAACCCGGGGGCTGGATCCAGCCTGCTGGGTACTTAGATCTGGCCTGTGGGGCTGCCCTGGAAACAGCAAAGGAGCAGTCTACAGTCCCTCTGCCTGCGAAAATGGAGCTCAGGAGGGCTGCGGGCGACTTTCCTAAGCTACATTTTTGCTGGCAGAGGGTTGCAGGAGGCCATCGCAGACGAAAATGGAGCTTGGGAG